TATGTTGTTGCGTGCGTGCGAGATCGTAATAGACTGAGTGCACACAGGTCCTATGATAGATTGATAAAATTTATTTTATTAAAAGAAACACTTCAGACTTCAGGGACTTTCCACAAAAAACTCGTACTAGTATTCCCAGTAACACACAAGTACAATCAGTAGTTACACTTCAAACTAATAGGAACGGTATACACAACACAAGCAAAACACATCTAAAAGGCGAAGCTTTCAATACTCTGACCTTTAAATACTCAAAACAACAACAATTGACGGGAGATGCTATCTTTAGCCTTATATAGTTTTCACCCGGCCACCGAGATATGTCTAGTACTTTCTGCTTCTCAAAATTACTGGAAGGCATATGAGGGCCAGCTGATATACAACAATGCTATGTGGTTACAGCTAATATAGTGACCAATTACGTGTATTCAGTTACAATACCTATTACAGAGATACAAAGCCCGGAACAAAATGTGGGCGAATTTATCGATTTCTCGCTAAATTTGGCGACAAAAATTATTTGCCAAAACAGTTGTCAGCTCTGCGATATCTCGCCAGTTGAGCGAGATAGACATTAACTCAATGTTAAATACACTTTTCCTGTATTTGTATTTTTCCGGCAGAGCATCTTTCCTCTAGATTTTCATGCTACATTATATAAAAAAATAAACAATCTGGCATATAATTTCACGAAAATTGCTATATATGTAGACTGCGGGGGGAAAAAAAGACAGTTCCAGTTATGTTTTTTATTCGGAGACTATTTTATCACTACAGTTGGATGGTAATATGGGGCAGTCTATCTTTTATCTATTGAAGCGAATATTTCGGCATGGTGGTAACATTGTATCCAGTATCGCTGGTCATGTTGCAATGAACTCCATTGATTTGTCCCATGATGCAAAATCCATTACTGCAGCCACTCACTGCAGAAATCCGAAGAGCTTTACTAAAACAGCGTTTCTCATTATTTGGCTCAGTGAAATGGGCACTAATTTGTTTCCTGCGTCCTTACTGGAGAGTAGTCTTATTTTCTGTGGCTTGGGGGTTTTTGCAGTTCTTTTGTATGTGGTCTTCATCACAGAATTTCCACTTTAGGTTAGATTTTTCGCCAGTCCTATTCCGTCTCAAGGCATTCATTTGTCTGGTTAAATCGTCTGTCTTATTTTCCTTGCGCTGAAGTGCTCTGCAGTTCCTTCTTATATACCTTCAGCACTCCAATTTCAACCCTTTAGAGTCGGTTTGTTGACACTCCTGTTTCGTGTCAAAGTATTGACTTGCTTGGTTAAATCATCTAGACGAACAGTCAGCTGATCCACTGGCTCCTGGACTTGAAGAGCTCTGATTGGGTATCGGTCTCTGCGAGCTGCCTCGAATTTCATGGAGTACACTAATTGCGTTTTTTAATCCTTGACATCTGCCATTCGCAGAGCTTTCTGTATTTCAGGATCCCGGATGCGTCGATGAAGTACTTCAGGGAGAGGATTTTCCAGCTCCAACACTCCGGATGGAACTCCGAAATCTAATCTCTGGTTTTTCGGTAGAGTTTGAAGGATATGCGCTTTTCCGAGAAGCGGTGAGATGGCAGGTTTTACCTTGAGAATCCCATTCATTCGCGTCCACCATCTTAGAAAATTGTATCTTATGCACTTGTCAGGAGGTCTTACCATCATATGTGAATAGCTTCAGAGAGGGATGAGAAGAGGCGGGTAAAAATTAAAACAATCAAAATTGCTTCTGCTGTCGCTATGAATTTCTTTAAGGTGTCAACTTCTTTGGTGATAGCAAAATTCTGTAATCTATTTTTCTTTGGCAGAAACTCTCTCTTCATTTTTTTCTTTGATAGAAGAAGCTCTTCCTTCAATTGGTACAACTTTTTTTAATCACGTCTATTCTGCCTTCCAGAGGCTGAAATTTGTTTTCAACTATGCAGGTAACTTCTCTTTTCATTCCTTCTTCACCTGCTTCAATCTTTCTTGAATAGCTTACATATCATCTTTAACGGATTTCCGGACAGCTTCCATCTTTTCTTGAAGAGCTTTCATCTCTACTTTGAATTCAGAAAAGGCTGCCGGCAAATGTCTTGCTCCTCCATCACTCTTGTCACTGACATTTAATCCCATTTCCTAGACAAAAATACTGAGTACAATCAGTAATTACACCTCAAACTACTAGGAACGTTAAACACAAAGCAAGCAAAGCGCATCTAAAACAGGAAACTTTTAACACTCCGAAGACGCTCTGAACTAACAACTCACAAGAACAACAACAGCTAAGTTCAGATACTCTGTCCGGCCTTATACAGTTTTCACTTGGCCATTGAGATATTTTTAATACTTTCTGCTTTTCGAAATTACGGGGGGGGGCATATGAAAGCCAGATAAAGTTGTAGCTAATATAGTAACCAATTACATTTACTCGATTTCAGTACTAATTACGAAGATACAACTCTGCTGGCGGGGTGGCCCTCCGTTCTAAGGAATAAACTGCCAATCGTTGGATTACGAAAATACAGGAGACAGGAGACCACTGGGTGAGCAGCTGTGCCGCCAATAAGACTTTCAACTTATTGCTCATTCAATGGGACCATGTTTATTTAAAATTTATAACAATGAAATTTGGAAATATACATTAAATCATTATACATAAAAATATAGATTAAATAAAGTTATAAGAAATATTTTGAAAAATATACATAAATATTAATTAATTCTAATATGAAAGTTCTGTAACAGCTAATGAGATGAAATATCTTGAAATATGAAATATATTGAAGCATGAAATATCTTGAATTTTGGATTGACTTTATGTTCCTTTTAAATGTTCACAGTTTTCTATTAGATTATTTGATTAAGTTATGCAGTTTATTTCGAAGGAAATTACTTTTAAGAAGTTGTTTCAACAAAATTTGTGCGTTGACAGCTGTGAAGGGGCGAAAGTGGAGATCTTTGGTTTAATTGAGCATTCGAACATATAATGATATATTGTTCCTATTGAGCCCCAGATGCAGTTGTCAGTATGATGGAAGCCAAAATGATGAAGATAATGAAATAAAAGGTCCATGTGAGATAATGAAATAAGTTATTACATTATTTGAAGTTATTAAATTCCTTGATGGTTTTGGTAAGAATAAGTATGTTCGTCTGCCTGTATTGTCTCTGACCAATTTGCATTCCATTGTGTTATTAAATCTTTTTCCAGTCTTGATTTTAATAATGAAATAGGATTTGGAAGTGGATAAGACATTGGAATAGTAGCATTGTTTGCTACCCTCTTGTTAATGTATCTGCTAATTCGTTTCCAAATGTTCCTATGTGAGCTCTTGTCCAGTGGAGTTTTGGTATGTACTATTTATGAAAATTAGCAAAGAGTTGTATGTCTTGGACCAGAGGTGATTTACTTTTACCTGTTATTGCTTGTATGCTTGAGGCACTGTCAGAAATAATGATGCTGGCTATTGAAAGTTGCTTTGCATATACTATGGCTTCCTTATTGCTAGTAATTCAGCTTGGAATATTGAATTAGTTTGAATCATTTTTGACTTCCAGGTATGTATGATTTTTTGTTATAAAATACACAGTAGGCGCTACCAACTCCTATTTCCGTTTTTGATCCGTCTGTATAAATTTTGATTTAAAAACTATTTATGTTGAATTTAATATTATATTTTCTGATTGAAATTGATTGGATAAAGTTTTATTTTGTTTAAGTTCCTCATAATCTTCTGGAAGTTAGGTATTGGAATTGTAGGTACTTTTCAATCTTAGACGTGAGACTTGTATTTTAGTTGCTTCTTTTTGTAGAGTTAAAATTATTGGAGAAATGCCTGAGATAATCTGTAGAGCACTGCTGAGTATATTTCTATATTAGATAGAACTAATTGTAAGTAGATAATTGTAAGTAGAAAAAGGCGTTGAACTGAAGTTAACTGTCTTATTGCGTGTACATTGAGTTTTGAGCCCCAAGCAGACGCGCCATGAAGAAGAATCTTTTCTATGACAGTTGTAGACCATATTTTTTGAAATTGTGAAGATACTCCCCAAGTTTTTGCATTTGTTATTTTGATTGCGTTTGATAGTGTGAGAAGTTTGTTTTTAATATATTTGATATGAGGATGCCATGAGAGTCTATTATCGAGCATGATATCAAGATATAGTAAATGAGTTCTTTGTTTCTATTTTTTGTTGTGCTAATTTAATAATTCGGTTTCGGAGATTTCTATGGTTGGTACCCGGTTTTGGTATGTAGAGAGATTTGCTTTTGAGGATTGAGATTTTTAACTGAAAGTTGTCTGTCCAGTTCTTAAAAATTTGTAGAGAGTGCTTCGAATTTTCTTCTATTTCTTTGCGACTTTTGCCTCGGACTATTAGTAAGAAATCGTCAGCGTAGACTTGTACGTGGGTGTGAGGGATATTGTTCGAAGGTTCTTAAGATTTCATTTGCTATTAAGTTCCAGATTGTTGGTCCCAAGCAAGATCCTCTTGTGATATTATTGGGAGTATCCTCTTGTGATATTAAATGTATTGATTCCAGAATTTGAAGTAAATTGAAGAGTTCTACTATTATGGAAGTAGTCCTTCAGTAATAGAAATAATTGGTTTGGACAATGAATAGATTTGAGTATATTTAATGCATCTGCCCGGGACGGGACCAAAAAGTCGCAAATGGTCGCCAAATCCGGCTACTTTTGGCTATTTCTCACCAAATTTGGCGACAAAATTTAGTCGCTAAAACTGCTGCCAGCTTGACTATATCTCGCCAATTTAATGTTAAACATTCATTCAGTGTTCAATATACATGCCGCTGTATTCTAAATTTTCTGGCAGAGAATCCTCCCTCTAGATATCAGACAATATTATTCAAAAAATACAACAATTGGACATATTATTTGACTAAAATTATACGTATATGTACAAAATTCGTAACAATGTTTACTGATAATGTGGATTACTTTAACTACTAATAGTGGGTAATATATCAAAAGTTTCGAGATGAGAAGATTTTCATAAAAGCTGTTTTATTTAAGTAATGTAAATAAATGAGTTTCAAGCAATGAAAAAAAATATTTAGCTATTATTAAGGCTTCTATATTTCTTTTTCGCGTTCTCCTGCTCTTTTTACCATCCAAATTTCGTTACGTCTGTCAAAAAAGTCAAATGGGGCGTCATATCCAACTTGGTAATATTTAGTTTTGATCACTGTATCATCATTTTTGAGACTATCAGCTAATTTTTGGGCTTCTTCCTTCCAAGTTCCTCTTCTCCATACATATCCAGGGAAAGACCTGAAAATAATCAAAGTGTATGTAATTAAATTCTGCTAACATTGTACTGTATTTATTTCCAGTTACATTATACTTTAGCAAAACAAAATTTTACTAGAGGTCTAATAATGCTGTAGAGACATTAGGTAATTTTGGAAGCAGGAAAGAGGAAAACTTAGCAACGTCTTCGCCGGGAATCGAACAACGGTCCTCTGTAATATGCGCCCAGCTTGCAGACCAATACACCACGAGGGCAAGCTAAGAAGGCGAGATAAATACCTTACATACTCCCCCTTTTAAAGGGCGACTGAGCTTTTAGGGGATCCAATCGCCAAATCCTAGGTGGGGAGAATCATCATCCACCACTCTTTTAGTTCGGTCGTGACTGTAGAGACATTAAGTTAAAAAACATGCATCAGTACATCAAGCAGAGCCATCACACTAATTAAAATCGAAATTTTTGGCATTTGAAATCTGATTTTGTTTAAGAAAATTTATTTGTATTTCTAAAATTACCCCCTTCCCCCAAAAAAACCTTAAAGGTTTCAGATTTTAAATTACGTCCAAAATGGCGTTTTTTAACATTTTGTGTGTTACCTTTCTTTATTAAATATCATGTTCTTCGCCCTCAAGCAATAAAATTCAATTCAACACCAATACCTCAAAATAATTTTAAATTGAGCATATCTTTAGAATTTCCGATACACAGTCTCGCGCACTGAAGATAAAAAATGTTTTTTTTTTTTTTTTTTTTTTTTTTTTTTGTACAACGTTACCATTGCTCGCTTTGAAAGCCTTAAGTTTGTTAATCAAAAATTCGTTAAAGTTTTACAAAATATGAAATGGACAATAAAACAAATTCCATATTTCAAATTTGGGGTTTCAGATGCCGATATTCGCAGTAGGATTACGTCATTCAAAATTGGATGGCTGTAGGTACCATTATTTTATCACGATGCGAGAAACATGCATACATTTATGCAGATTCTTCATTATTTAATTTCTTCAAATATAATACGGGGCGATAATATTTGGTGGCAACAGTTTGAAAAGTGAAACGGACATTCCGAGTGATTCGACGCAAAATCGCAAAACGAAAACAATAATCCCTCAGGGACAAAGCTCCTTTGGACTAAATAGAGCATAAATCTAATAAACCAGTTTTTTTCTCAAAACTTGTGATCTTATTTTTAGTCCAATTGTTATTTCCAAGCTATTTATGTGAAATTAATTGCATTATGATTATGTTGCACGCTGTATGTTAGAGGTCGATGAGAAAAACCATTCTTTGAAAAGGGATTGGTGCAAGAAAATGATGGGAATCCCTGTACATAGTAAGCAAAACCACTGATCAGTTGTTGAAGAATGTAAAAGGAAGGAGATTCAAGATAGAAAGTCACTTTACCTCACAGCATAAAGAGTAGGTTCTTCTTTCTCGACAGTAATCCCTGTGTCGTTGGGAGCTGGAGGATTGTTAGCATGGATAGATGGAACCATGAAGCTCATCTCGACTGCGGTATAGCTTTCATGATCCGTAACTTGCATCCTCACCGGTACGGTCATGTTAATTGTTATGCCTAAGAATAAAAACAAAATATATAACTACCAGCAATTTCATTTATGCAATAAATGCCACAACTTAAAATTGATCCCCAATAAAACGGAAAAATTTCATCTCCTTTTTAGCTTTAATTTTAGTCACAAAATTTTGAACACCTGTAAAGGTTTGCTTTTGTTTTTCGTTAAGAAAGCTACGAGTAACACATACTACTGAACGCCATCCGAATTCGTAGGATATTCTAGATATTAGCTGTAGGCGTTGTGATGTCAGTTCATTCGTGTTTAATGAAGTGTGAAGACTTTAACATACACGTCTGACAAATAATACAACAAGATCATAAAGTGATTTGCATAATGGAAGATTTTACACTACCATGAGCAAACATTAGAACAACACAAAATCAAAACAAACATAAAATGAATGTAGTGCTATTGCAGGTATTCAAGGCAATATACTGTTTTACGAAGAATACATGAGCATAAGAATTAAAATGAAACAAAATCAAATAACACACATGACCATAATATTTTGACAGTGATATTTGATCAGTGGTAAGTTATGAAAATTTTAAAGAACAGCGTGCATAATATATTATTAAAAATATCGGATTCTTAATTAATATTTCAGTTTTTATGAAAACAGAAAATGAAAAAAAAAAATGTGCATGAAAAAGAAAGCATTACAAAATAAGAAAGGAGTTTAGATTAGAAGGCAAAATTCGAAGCCAAAATTTTAAAAATAACAGTATAGCATAGAACTTACATAAAATAACAAGTAAATTTAACGATGCGGCACAATTTAAACCAGAAGCTTGCCAGACATCATGTTTTCTTTCTTCACGTCAGTGAGCACAATTTAAGCCCAAAACCTGACACACATTATGTTTTCTTTCTTCACGTTAGTTAATCTCTCTAGTACAGCAATTCTTAACCGTTTTCCTTTCACGTTCCCCTTAATAAAATGTTGTAATTATACAGCATCCCTATTCTCCCTGTTCAGAACTTATGATTTTCAGATTTTAAATTACGTCCAAAGGGGCGTTTTTTAACATTTTGTGTGTTACCTTAATTTATTAAATATCATGTTTCTTCGCACTTAAACCATAAAATTCAGTTCAAGAGCAATATCGCAAAATAATTTTTAATTGAGCATATCTTTGGAATTTCCGATACACAGTCTCACGCGCTGGAGATAAAAATGTTTTTTCTGTACAACGTTGCCATTGCTCGTTTTGAAATCCTTGAGTTTGTAAATCAAAAATTCGTTACAGTTTTAGAAAATATGAAATCGATAATAAAACAAATTCCAAATTTAAAATTTGGGGTTCCAGATGCCCATATTTGCAATAGGATTACGTCATTCAAAATTGGATGGCTGTAGGTACCGTTGTTTTATCACAGTGCGAGAAACATACATACATTTATGCAGATTCTTCAACGTAATACAGGGTGATAATATTTGGTGGCAACAGTTTGATAAGTGAAACGGACATTCAGAGTGATTCGACGCAAAATCGAAAAACGAAAACAATACTCCCTCAGGAACAAAGCCCCTTTGGACTAAAAATATATTCAAACAAAAGCTGATAACAACATTATTTACGTCATACAACCACAATAATTAACACTCATTTTTAAACCAGAAGATTACATTTTAATATATGTAATGTTATTTTTTTAATATCCCCTTATGTAAAAAGGGAATGAATTCATAAAGTCATTGACGATTGATGATGTCTAGGCCTTTCTGAATATTTTGCGTTTTTTTACCTCGTTTTGTTATAATATTTTTTGTTACTGGTAATTTCTTCATGCACGTTATCTTGTATTATAAAGCGTTGCGTACCCCACAGGTATACGTGCATCATAGGTTGGGTATACGATTATCTTTTATCAGTTTTCTAAATTCACTTTTTCATATCTTAACGGATATAAAATTGGATACTGCATCACAACACTAAAACAAAATCAACCTTACATTTTTCTATGTTAGAATAAATTAAGTTATTAATAAATAATTCGAATAAAACGGATTCAAATAAAAATAGTATTTCAATTTAAATAAATATCAACAGGAGATATATTTACTGTAATAAATTTTAAAAAAATATGCTGTTTTCTTATTTCCACTGGAAACGAATCCTATATTCAGAAATATTATGATGGTTTTATAATCCAGAATATAAAATAAGAAACAAAAGTTCTAATAGAGCTTTTTATACGAGTTTGAAGTCAATAATACTAATAATGTTTTGATGTAAATACTATTTTTAATGCCATTTATAAACTTACTTTCTTCATTTCAAAAGTGTTCTTCCACCATTATTTTCAGTCTGTTCTTTTAGTTTTGAATCCAGTTTAATTTAGGCAACTTTTTCTCAAGATTTAACTGCTTGAAAATGCAGATAAATCGTTAAAAGTATTTTTCTGTCAGTTACAGAATATGAATTATTCTTCTTTTTAGTACTTTTAATTACTCTCGAATTAATCATGATTATCAGTTAACCGTGGGTGTCATAATAGTTATTACCCTGATGTAGCGAAAGTTGATTGTATGGGTTATTCGATTAACATTTTTCACTTAAGGAGATGAGAACTAATATTATTAAGGTTTTAACCAAAAATTTCAAAGAAGCTCACCGTTTAACGAAATTTAATTAAGCTAGTATGTATTTTTAATTAGAAAAACATCCAAGAGCTGCTTAATAGCCTATTAAAAATGTGCAAAAATGGTCACTTGCCTTTATCATTTTTGCCACTAATATATTTAAAAAGGCGTCTGAAAGCTTTCATTTGAGCAATTCTGGAAAACATGCTTTCTTCTTCAACAGTGGCCCAAGTCAGTGCTGGATATGATCGCACTTCGTAATCCTGTAAAATTTTTTATAAATAAACAAAAATTCATGAAAAATCACTGAATGTTGTTCCTGGTGTGGTGTGGTGTGGTGTATTTAATTATGGCAAAGCACACGAGGGCTATCTGCCTAAAGGGAGGGATGCCTTTCGTGGAGGACTTTTCTAAGGGAAACTGGCTCGTATACACGTTCATGGGGAAAACCACGAAAACGCCCATGCAGCCAGCCCGTTCGCGGGATTCGAACCTCAGACCGAACTACCAGTGTTCAGCGTCTTTACCGCTCGGCCGCTGGTGGGCGAATGTTGTTCCTGAAGAATAAGTACTTATGTTTGAGACTAGTAGGAAACTTCTTTTCCTTTGATGTGAAGTTAAAGACTTCTTTTGTTATGTTATGGAATGTTTAAAATTTAAAACAATCTCATTTTATTTGTCGTTTATGCTACAGACAGAACTACGCTCTGCCATAATTTTATTTTAAGTGAAGGTGCAAGAAGGAATATCTTCTTGACTGTATTAGTTATTAAATGAGGTTATAAAAAAAAGAAGTTTGTAGGTTGTGAAAAGTATCTTTCATGATTCTTGTGATTCGCCATTAATCGTTAGAAATCACATCTAGATATTTCGAAAATTATGGATGCACTGGATATGAATTTTTATTTTGTTGTTGTACTATGATTCTAAACTAATGAGTGGACTGTATAGCAAAAGAAACTAACTAATTTATTGACAGTAATTAACTACATTTAGTTCTAATACATGCTCTGTTCGTTTCTCAGCCGAATCCAGATGGCCAAGTGAGAGTTTCTCTCCCTATCCAATAGGTGGCGCTGTATTCTAATTTAACAGTTGTCATTGTGTGTGTCATGGTAAAACTCATTAATATCTCAATAATAATACGCTGAAAGAAAGTTTTATGATAAAGATTAAAATATTTTCTCCGCAATTAACCAAAATGTAATTTTTTGAGTTAAAAATTATATATTATTTTTCATTTTTAGCGAATCAGAATGGCAAGAAAATGGTAAAAGTTCAAATATTTTTTGACATCGACCAAAATGTAAAAAATCCAGATTTTCGATATTTCGCTTTAAAATAGTGAACGAAGTAATGCTATACTTGAATTCAAAATATTGTCTAAAGATTATGCTTCATAATCAATTGAGAGTATGTTGTGTTTAGGTTACCTCAAAGAGAAATTTAAATGCACATAAAATGATGTGATTTCAGAAAATGAATCGTATTATATTATTTGCTGACAAAAGAAAAAGGGAAAAAAAATAAAGAAACGAGAAACTTAATGAAACCTTTTTATTTCTATTCTGTCTTTTTAGTTTCAATACTTTTTACTTTAAATCCACTATAACATACAATGCAAGATCTGTCTGTGAGTTCCAGTTTTAAAAGAAATATGATGCTATTACAATACACTGGAATGAAATTTTAAAAGTAATTTTATCACTTTATTTTCAGTAATAGTTTAATAGAAAATGATTGTGCTATTATGCAAAATAACTAATAAAAATTAAGAACTTACAGGGTGCTGCTCCACGACAACATAATCAGGACATTCTAAATTTTTGTATAAACATCCTTCCGCTGCGCTGCCAATAACAGCAATCTAAAAGAAAAGAAACAAACATATTAAAATATGTAAAGGTTTCCAAAAGCATTTCGTTTTCAAACATTTTACCTTTTAAATGTCGTAATTTCTTATTAATTCATTAATTTTTGTTTGAAAGGAAGAATAAATAAATACAGCAGAACTTGGAAAAATCGAAATTTCCAATAATTCAAATTAAATGTCCAAATGTAGAATTTGCTACTAATATCAACTTTCCTCGATAAATGTAATTTTCGGTTTAATGATTTTTTATCTGCTAGCTTTGGTTTCAACTTCTCGAAGTTCAATTGTTTTAATTTATTAGAACTCACAAGCATAAGTGAACTTCTTATAAAAAAAAAAGGTCATTGCATTAGAATGTCATTAATGATTCTTGTCCATAAAAGTCTTTATGAGGCCCTTACGTTCGCAATTATTGGTCGTAGATATGTACTTTCATGCATAAAATGCTTTGAACGATGCAAATATTCATATTATAACATTTAAAATTTTTAAAAACAAATTTTATAGAAAGGAGAAAATATCTGTGCTATAGCGGTGAATGGAAATTGGTTTAATTGCAAATAACTCTGTCTTTATGTAGAGACGATATCTTTGCATAAATGTCTTTATGTAAAGAGAAGCTGCATTTTGCATGAAGGAAGACATGAAGGATGGTTTTATTTAGCAGTCGCTTAAACAGTTTAGCAGTGGAATGAATGAGAAATGTGACAGTTAAATTGTCTGTCCTTTTATCTGGAAGGATTAGGTGATTTGAAGAGATTGAAGTATCCTTGAATGGAAGTTGGAAGTGATCAATTTTATACTTATCTTGCAAAGTGGCACATAAATAATACTCAAGAGCAGTTTTCCTCAATGACAGAAAGTTTATGCTCCGTCATATAAATAAACAAATCCTCTTTAACCCCCAAAAATGTTTTAAAAACTAGAATTTATTTAAAATATGTAAAAAAAAGAGAAAATATACAAAAAAAAAAAAAAAAAAAAAAAAAAGGTATAATTAGAAAAGGAAAAATATAGGAAGGATTTTTCGAAAAAGGTAGGTATTTTACTTTTTCATCTATCTTTTTATATAGCATATAATCCCTATTTTTAATAAGTAAAATTTGTATTTTAAATTGCTCGTGTTATTTAAGAGTGTTTTGTTTTGATGTGTTCATAATATTTGGAAATTACATAAACTAAACAAAACTCAGTGGCGTAACAGCTCTAATGGGCCAAGGCCTGCAGAGCCCGAAAATCTGCTTTCTTGACCGTATCCCCGGGGTGCGTAAGCATATGCCCGGAACAAGTGGTCAACTTGGGGTCGCAGTGTTTAGTCCCCAAACGAACTTGGTACTCATTTTATCGACTCAAGTGATTAGGATGTCTTTAAATGCATCCTAATGATGAAACTCCAATGGTGCTAAATCCGGACTTTTTTTTTTTTTTTCTCGTTATTCGTAATACTGATTTTTCAAGGAGAACAACAATTAGTGTGGGTAATTTTAGATACAATGTGTCATACAAAAGTCGAGTTGAAAAGCTGGAATTATAAAATCTAGGATTACCTTAAAACGATAAGTTTGGTTTTGCTTTAGTGCTATTCTTACCGTATTATAACGCTGGATATCTAATTAAGACCTAAAAATATCCTTACTTAACGATATGTTAAATGCTTCCAGATCTTTTAAAACAGAACTCACATATAAATAAGGAGCAAGTACTCTTTATTTGCTATTCATTCCAGAACTTAAATACATGTCATCCCGGATCACACAAACTTAGCTGTTTAAAATAATTATTTTTATACTCCGTATATAACTTTTCTTAATCTGTATTATTATACACACGTTATCCAACGAAAATCGATTCAATTTTGTTTTCAATTGATGTTGAAAGGAATTTTTCAATTTTCAAAATTATCTTCGTTTAATTCAGCGATTCCCAACCTTTCCGAAGCTGTCGCCTCCCTAAGGAGCGAAAAAATTTTCGACGGCCCCTTTTGTGAAAATCCTGTAATTTGGGTATGAGAAAGGGGGTTCCTCAATTATAAAAAGCAAAAATTCTAAGCTCTTTTTTTTTTTTTTTTTTTTTTTTTTTTTTTCTCCATTTACACATCAAATTTGTTTGATTTGACTCGATAGTTTTTCCTGGAATTTAATTACATTCCTTTGTTAAAACTAAAATGACTAATGCCAGAAAAAATTGCTTAAGCGATGTTTTGTGTTTAAAAATTATTTATTCTTAATTAAATAATTAAAAAAGAACAGAAAAAACATACTAAAAGAGTAATATCAATGAAACAATCAAGTATGATCAGTGGGATGTCCATGCTTTATGGTTCAGAGCCAGTTTCTGAACGTTCGGTTCAATCTTTGTTAGAGAGATGAAAGCGCAAGTCCCCTCTTTCCGCGACTTCGAGTCGACTTCTCTTTTTATGTATTAAGTCTTCCCCATGGTATGAACTTTCCCCTATTTAGCAATAAATTTTGATATATTATAAGAGGCTATCAAAACATCATCACATATTTTTGATGAGGCTTCCAGTAACACTCAGACAGACGGTGACATCAGAAAATTGGCTCTGATATTCTGTAAAAACGACAAATCTTTATTTTGTTTGTCAGGATGAATTTTTTACAGATTCGTCTCACCATTCTAAGAACTGATGAGGGAAGCCGTCGCGTAAGTTCGTTCATTGCTGGTGCAAATCGGATAATCTATTTAATACAGTTTTTGGGGAGATTTTTTAAATTAAGTTCGAATGCCAAAGCATACTTATCGCCCCCTACCACTCAAAACATGGAGGTAAGAAAGGAAGGAGTGGCCAAACTTACATTAGAAGTGGAGCACTGCTCCGAAGCTTCGGTCACTAGATGGGGTGTTTTTTGTTTACATTCAGAAGCTTGCTTGACAGAGGTCTGATAGTATTTCGACGCACGACAGTTCCATACAAATGGAAGAAATGGGACACTTCCGCATAAAAGAAACATTCCCTAGTGTGATGGATAATAGCAATTTGTATAGTTTAGTGACATTTACGCAAAAGTCACATCTTGGTTATTTTTCGATAACTAACAACAGCAATTTTCATTATGAATTTGTTTCATAAAATTCTAAGCTGTTGAACCTCAAAAGTATAGATTTTAGCAAAAATGTTATGCTTAAAGAATGAAAAATACCTCACCTTTAAAACTGTATACATCTTTCGATACCCTTGATAGAGTATTCGCTACTTTTGTTTTAAGTTCGAAACGCCAAAATGTTTTAAATAAAATAATTTTTTTTCACATCCATATATTACTGTAACATGTACTTTTTAAAATTAGTGTGAATTACTTTACTCGAAAAATATAGTGAATGCAGAGAAATTAAAGATTTCCACATGCCGGAAATGAAAAATATGAAATATGTATGGGTATTTATGCATGTGCTTGCAAAAAGTCTTTAACAAAATACGTAAATATTTATTAAATTATTTATAAATGTATTTGAAATGAAGGATTTATTCATTCATAAACAACTGTGAAAGTTACTGTGAAGAAATATAATTATTAAATGTATCTAAATTTATAAAGATTATAAATATTATCGTGTATCTAAATTTATAAAGATTATAAATATTATCTAAATATATAATAAAACTTAATATTGAATTGTAAACATAAATTGACATCCTGTTGACAAATACGTTATAAAACTATTTAAGCAAGAATTGTTCGTACTGGAAAGCAATCTGTTAAAAGGTATTGTAAAGCAATTTCTATGAGATGCGTACTTAAGAAAGAAATAAAGAGTTTTGGAATATATATTGTTGAAATTAAGGGTAAAAAAATCTAATAAATATAATTAAAAGAATTATTCCCCTTACATTTTATAATAACTCAGTTACAAGTTTTAAATAATATTTAGAAAATAATCCTTATCTTATTTCTTTTCAGAAATATTCAGAGAAAGTTAAATACTATTTAAAGTATTTCGCTATTAAAATAAAAGATACTCTAATTTATATTAATAATACAATAAGCTTTGATCTTAATTTTTGTAATCCTTAACCCAATAAAATCGAATTACCTTAAAATTTCTTTCTAATGTAATTAACGTAAACTTGTGAAAATATTTCATTCAAATGAAACCATTCTGAGCAAACTGTTCTGTGAAAAGTACAGCATTTAATTCCGTTCAGATTGAAATGTTGTTTAAAAATGCATTCTTTCCATATACTTGGAACTCTGAAGTATTATAGAAAAAGAAAATATGTACATTTATATGCATATTTACGACGTAATTACAAAATATTTACATCCGATCGTGTCAAAACCCATTGAACTTAATGGTAAATAACCTAATGTTTTGGTGACCAACGAAGGGATCACCAGTGCTTCAAAGCAGTATGGAGCAAAGATTGTTTGTTCTTTGGACATTCGTTCATAGACGTTCTTTGGTATGGGGGAAACCGGTTTAGAGCCACTCCATCCAAAGAATTTCTTTGGCTCCAACTTCCTACTTCCATGACCCAACCTACCTCCATGCCCAAAACATTCTCTCCGCCCCCAAAACAAGTTCATCGCCCCTCAGCATACTTCCGTTGCCCCTAGGTGGGGGGGGGGCGGTACCGCCCCCGTTGAAAACCAATAATTTAATTAATAAACTCAAAATTTCAGAATTTTGCTGTTTGTGTTATCGAATAGAGCGAAATACAATTTTTAAACATAAAATTATATCCAAATTTTAATATAATTTACTGATTTTCTGCAATTTTTAATATTTTCTAGATTTTTTTGCCGATCATTTCATGTTCATTATTTTAAAATTTCATCATCCAGACATGTTTCTTTTATAAAGTTTTGAAATTTTCACAAATTATAAAACAAAATGTTAGCCTTTCTTCAGAACAAGAATAAATATTAATTAGGTGATTCTCTAGAAACTTTTTAAAAATATGCTTAGTTATAAAGCTAAATTAAAATTGGTTTTAGTTTAAGTAAAATATGTAAAAAAATTCTAGAAACAGAATACATACCAAAAGCGCTATCTTCCACATTTTGAGGAACATTCTAGTACTCTCTTGAATAGAAAATGAAGTGTCGGCTTTTCCTTATAAGCCAAACATTATCAGCTCGTTATCGGTATGTATCAAACCATATTATACTCACACAGGGCAAGGTTGACTTAAGTCATGGATTGCCACCGACTTGCCACAAATTTCAACGGAAAATCAACAGCTGATGATGACGGCTAGACTCGTTATATAAAAGCATTTCTAAACTTCGTCCTTCAAAGATGTCTCATAGATTATTCCTTCCAGTTATCTTTCTGGCCTATAAAAATAAAAGTGGAAAAAAATACCGCATGCTTTTCTGGATATAAAGATAATAATGAGTGGATTATTTACATACATAAAGAACTGCGGTCCTCAAAGAAGGCGATATTGACATAAAAGTATCCATGTTATTTCCCAGTGCTGATGATTTAAAAAAAAAATTAGTATTAGATATATGAAAATATCACCTTTAGTTTCTGCAATGATGTTCAACTATCAGTATCCACAGTTAAAGAAAATAAGGGAATACACTACATTATTCTTGTACTATCTAATGTTTTGATAAAAGTCTTTAAATAGTTTTTAAACAGATGTAGCAAATGCCGTTTCAGAAAAAATTTTTTTGTCTTGATATGAAGACTTGTTTTTCTTTTTACAATGCAAATAAACAGATTTTTTTTTTACTCTATTTAATTGGATCAACGTGAAATATTTTCGTTTTGATGATGTGATGGAACCGCCCTTGCTTTTTATACATTTTTAAAAGGAGTTTGATGGGAAGAATGAAAATAAGAAAAGAAGTCTGCAACTTTCTAAAAACATTTCATATGAAATTATCATTTCAAAATTAAATTATCGTCTGACGTCATTAAATATCCTCTGCTTTAAAAATGGTGTATGTACAGATGATTTTAGATCGAAATTTATTTATTTTCTCTTTTTCCAAAAAAGAAATATTCTTACTTCCGCTTTTGAAAAACGTTATGAACCCTGTAAATAACGAAATGAATCATGTAACTAAAATTTCTAAATGCAAACAAAGCAATATTACTAAAAAATAAACTTTACTTTTATATAAAATGAAAAGAATAACCGAATAAAAGTAATTCCCAGAAATAATCCAAAAACTTGCATTCATCTGCAACTACTCCTGCATAATGTCTGCGATCTCTAAAAAAAACTCACTAATTGAAAGAATATTTTTCTTGCCTTTCAATACCTCTCTTTCATAATAAACAAAATAATATGTATAAAAATACTGTAAGTTGAATGATTTAATTAAATTCATTGCCGTCCTAATGGCATGGTAGTAGAGAGCTGGCTGCCATAGCCTTGGGCTGGAGTTTGAAAGAAAGAGAAAACGTGGATGTTCGTAACTATAAAGTGTCTATATGGGTACTTTAAATACTGTCGTGCAGAAGTTCCTCTGGTGAGGTTGCTAGCAGGAGAGAAGGGGCATTCTCTGGTTTGTTCCCCGAGGGATCTCGTATTTATCGATCTTTCTTGTGTTATATTTGTATGGCCTTTTCTTAGCATCATCTTCTAACGTTTTTCAACTTCTTAACGTAACGTCATTGTAAACATGTTTTAATATGAATATGATAGCATCCTGCCTGTTCTTGAGTAGCTTCACAATATATACGAACAAGTACAATTGATATGTAATTGCCATTTGCTTCAGTTTCAAACCGTACGGCACAGTTAATGTAACGGATGTCATCCTTAATATTATTTTCTTCTAAGCGCTGCATGTTTGACTGATATTCTGCAAATTTGCGTTACCTGGTTTATGTTATATTATTCATCATAAATTTTTACCGTACATTTTATTTTTTTATACTTTTTTATTTTCCAACATTTATTGCTCCTTTTTAGATTGTTTTGTACCTATCACAATACTATGTCTTGATTCTACATATATACTGTATATGAAGTACTACATACGTATATATACTGTATAGTAGTACTGTTTTGATCTACATATATGCTGTATATATAGCAGAATAGTACATATACATATTCTGTAAATACAGATATAGTTATGCACGACGTTATGAGAAACGTGTTTCTTCCAACATAAGTTTGAACGGGAAATTTATAGCCAAAACAGTTTCGCTCGGTGATCTGCTACGTGTACAAGCCAGAGAAATTTACGAGGCTAGATAAAGACTCTCGTCTGCAGCTCTCTCTCGCGTAGAAGAGAAAAGAGAGAATATACTTTTAGATCTTTGGGTAAATCACAATCAGATTTTTTTTGGAAGCAAAATTCCCAGAAAATTTTGTTTCGACTTGCAACTGAAACGAACTAGCAGGTCTTATAAAGGTTCAAGTCATTGGCCAACGTCTTCGGCATATTAGAAGATTCTGCTACTGGTGGGTTACGCTGGGTGTACTCAGACTTTGGTAAGCTTTCTGCCTGTGAAATAGAAAGGGAGATTCCCCTTCAGAATTGCGAAAGAGCTGGACGAATTCGTACCTTTAAAATGCTTTAGCCGACGATAGTGCACAGCGTTTGCGTTTTGGTCACGATACAATTCGCGGCCTGATCTAGAGATATCTAAAGGCCCATAGATTCGGATTAGGAGGATCAACAGCAACAACCACTATATAAATTAATAAGTAAAAAATAATTGCTTAGACTTTTTTTACACTACCACAACATTCTTGCTTATATATGTGACTGAAATTAAGATAAAGAAATCAGCTCTCGGACAAAATTTAGATGGATCTTGAAAAGCAGAAGTCTCTTTTTTCATAAGTAATTAACTTCCTTTTTGCCTCCCACAACACGTTTTCGTTATTTTTACAATGATGTCTGTCTGTGTATACGTCTGGGCGTATATGTGTGAGGATTTTTTTCATTCATGATAACTCTTACAGTTATCAGAGCTTAAATGCGGAAACTATATTTTCCGTATTAAATATTTTCCGTATAAAATCCTAATGACTCTACAATGTTAGTTCCAACAATTTTAAGTGACCAGAAAAGGCTAATTAAAGAATTGCGACAGGAAACAAAATTAAACTACAAGTCCCCTTTTGAGTTAACTTTCTAAAAACTAAATCTTTAATTTTTATTTGAAGAAAATTCGCTTATTTTTTAACAAAACCCTCTTTTAATCCTATAATATTTCGAACTACCGTCTTTTCTTTTACGCTAATCTTTTTGTATATGTTAAGCAAGTGTGAAGATAAAAAATATCGGGTATAGAAACCTGACTATGTAATGGGACATGATTCAACCTAAAATTTAAAAATACATTTAGGTAGGTTAACTGATGAAGGCAAAGTAACTCAGTGGTTATCTTCCTATACAGAGGAATGCCTTCGTGGAGGACTTTTTAAGGAAACTGGCTCGTATCCATTTGAAAGTACGTTTATAGCTTTCACTTTTATTACCAGTTTTTTAATGAATATTCAACCTATTCTTAATAGTAATCATTTTACATGACCTCATATGTGTAGAGGCACTCCAAAATAACATCATGTGAATAACATTTTTTGAACTGGGGAAATTCGCACATGCATAAATGAGTAAGTAAATACGTAAAAATTACATTTCGGCAACAGAAAGCACAGCTCCCTCGAACATAGAAAAACTTATTATTGGTCATTGGCCAATCTTAAACGTTTGCCAATACTACAACAGCAATGCTAAAAACATTCGGAATAATATAAATAATAAATATTGAGTTGTGAGTGTTAACATTAAATTAATGATAAATAGAGAATTTGTAAATTAAAATACCACATAAATTAAATGAAATAAAAACAAATAAAAGGTAAGTCAAAAAAAATCTGAAAGCTTTCAGATTTTCTATTACACCCAAAGCCCCCCCCCCATTTACACACATATTCATTTTTCGAGAGTATTTGGGCAAAAAGTATTTAAAAACAGTATATCTTTAGAATTTCGGATAGTCTCGTGCGCTGGATATAAAAACATTCATTCTTCCAAATTCCAGATTTGGGCTTCCGGGTGCCCATATTCAGGCGGAGGACTATGCTATTCAAAATTTGATGGCTCTAGGTATCATTGTTTTTTCACAATGCGAGACACACACTTACATTCATGCAGATTCTCCATTATTTAATTTCTTTAAATGCAATACAGGGCGATAATATTTTGTGGCAACAATTGGAAAAGTGATAACAACGCTTTTGGGGATTCAACCATGAAGGTTAGAATACTGGTAGATGGAGTAAGCATGACGTCACAAAACTGAAGCCAAGGAAATGTTAGCAACATGACGTAAGTCTTATCATGGCCGCCGTACAGCTTACGGTTACGACTACAAAACACATCGTTAAATAAATTTATACTGAATTTGGAAAAAATATCAGTGTCCGCAGGCTCAGAAAAGTGATCCCATTGAAACTTCCTGTCATCTTGCAAATTTTACCATGTATAGATTGGTGTTTACACATTTACTCATTAGATTTTAATAAATTTGAAAACATTGTTTGCAATCCTTGTGATTATACTAAGTAGAAAAGCTTTTATGTTAAGTTTTAAAATTAGAAAGGGAGACTGATAAATGCTCAAAGATGAATAGTTAACATGCGAACAATGCCAATTAGAATGTAAACAAAGCCCGCTTATGGCAGAGGCCATGCTAAGACAGTGATGTTTCATGATTTCATTTTCGTTGCACGGCACATACGGAGAAGGCTTACTCCATCTGTTCTAACCTCCACGGATTGAAAGTAGAATGCCGTTTTGAGACTAATAGCCCTTCTGAGATAACGCACCTTTGGGCTAAAAATGTCATAAAGTTAAAAGTAACAAAATTTTATACAAAGGATAAAAGAAAAACAAGTATTTTCTCTGAGCAGCGTTTAAGATTAGATAAAACTAGATTCTTATTTTGGCTTAGCATTTCATTTTTTAGCTTAGCTTTCTATTACTTAACACTGACTTAGAACAAAGTACAACTCAAACCTTCTGGATCAGATTTTTAAATTAAATTCCTAGAGGGATCGTATTTCGACTAAGATTTCTTATTCACCTATTCAAATTTCCTCACTTATTTTGCTTTTCCGACAGAAATTAAGGGATGCATCAGTTTCACTACCTGTTAAATAAAATATTGCATTGATAACAGGATTTTCTACCATTTCTACGTG